ATGGGCCTTCATACGTGATTCGCATCCCTGCTCACTTACGGACTTATCCTGCTTTCCATGCGTCAAAGCTGGCACCTTTTGCTGCCACAGACCAATTCCCCTCTCGGAGATCAATGCTGTCCCCAACCATGGATGGCGAAGTGGACATTGACCAGATCGTCGAGCATCGAATGATGCATGTTCCTCGACCATCAGGCAGAGGGCGACCTCCTAAACCGAGAATGCAGTACCGGGTGAGCTTCAGACATCACCTTGATCCCAAGGAAGATCGCTGGTTCACACGCGAAGAACTCATGAGAACAGCGCCTCAAGTGATTGCAGGCTATGAAAGAGAACGAAAAGGGAAGATGCCTGCAGAATAAGAGACTTCTCAGAGGACTCACGAAGTTAAGGAGAAGGGAATGTGAGGATCAGTGTCCTCGGTAGGCCTACGGGGCCCTGTCTGCAGCCTTACTCGCCCTAAGTGAAGGCGGAGGTGCCCGCCCTAAGTGAAGGCGGGCCTGGCTTTTAGCAAGAGGCCCTTAACTGTCGATTTCATATTTGGGGTCCAGGCAGTTGCGACGCGCCAGTTGGTTGAAAGAAACACAGGCCGTGTACCGAAGACATTTACACGGCCTACCGGGCCTTTCCAAAGAATGCAGGCCCTGGGCGTGATTCGCAGCCTCATACAGAGACAGTCGGGCGCCCAACCAAACGAGGCCCAGCAGCCCAGTAGCTGCTGCATCCAGGCAGCATCCTGGGGCCTTCCGGAAGCTTCTGGGCCCAGGCCAGCCCAGCCAGGCTGCGAGAGCTGGCCAGCTCTTTTCCATAAAGGAAAGAGCTCTGGCCAGGCAGCCTCATTCAGGCACTCGCATGCTGGACGGCAGCGCTGCTGGAGCTTATGCTCGTAGGCTGCTGCTAGCGCGGAGAGGCGAGGTGTAGCACGTGCGGTCGTGCAGAGGAGGAGGGCGCTCAGCGCCATAGCCCAGCCACCATAGCTGGTGGGCTTGGATTACAGTGAAGCGCAGGGGTAGTCTTCGAGTGACAGAGAGGACAGGTGTGGGTGAAGTCARGGGATAGGTGAAGGATGATGATGATGACGATGATGTGAGGGCACGTACCTTGTATTGGCGATGGTCTGCATGGGCGGCATCTTCAAGTACTTCGGGCTGCTGCTGATGTCAACAGTTGCATTGTCTTTTTGTAGTCTGTAGTAACTGTGTAGGAGTAGGCTGGGCGCTGAGCGCCAAGTGTGAGTGTAAGGGAACTGGACTCTTGTGTGAAGAGGAGAGAGTGTGCTCTCCACGGACATTGGTTTTCAGTGCTACGAAACTCCATTGGTGTACTATTGGTGCAATGCTGCTATCTGGACATGGTGTGACTATTTGACTTGCAATGTGATGGTGTGATCTGGGATTGTCATCTCGCTGTTGCTTATTTTCCTTGCATCTACAACCTCATATTTTTATTTTTATTTTTTGAGCTTTTACTATATTAAAAAAAAAAAAAAAACGTCAAGAC